ATGAAGGCTGAAAGTCCCATCTAGGTTGTTTCAGTGTTGAGGTACAGTGTTTGCAGTGGGGTCCTGTGTCGCTCCAGAAAATTTCTATAATTGCTGGCCATTGTCTGTGCTGGTTCTGTCTGATAGAAAGTTGAGTCCAGCAAACCTGAAGAGCTATAATTTCCTAGCCCTTCTTTTAAGCAAACAAATAGAGTAGGACAATGGTAAAAAAACAAACAATAATTTGAGGTAATTCTGTTACAGTTGCTGCAGAAGGACTTGCCTGGAGACCACGATCAGACCCGTGAGAGGCTTGAGCAGTACAGCCAAGTGAACCTGGTCCCTGCCATTGTGGAACAAGGCTGGTGCACCATTATTCCTGACCTCCTGAAGATGCCCGAGCATGACGCCAGGGAGAAGATTCTCAAGACGGTGCAGGTGCTGCTGGCCTTTTGCAGGGAGAGCTACCTGGAGGATCGTGGCCTCAACCACACCCTGAGTCTTCTTTGCCAAGAATATGAAGAGCTGGCAGCCGAAGAGCAAAAGGAAGGGGAAGAGAATGGTTATTTTAAGGAACTCCTTGGCTCTATAAATAGCATCGCCCAACAGCTGAAATAAAGACTCCTGCAGCCTTAGAGGAATGTGAAGACTCCCTGGTTAATTTGGAAATAATTCTGCATAATAAAACCATTGAACAAACCTTTTTTTGGCCTTGTGCAGTCCCTGGATGCGGCAAGTAAGCCCATATGCTCATTATGGAACAAAAGGTGCCTTCCTATTAGCAATTCAGGGCATGTTTTGTTCCTGGAACTAATCTCAAGAAGTGCTCCTCCTTCAGCAGGATTTAGGTGTCTTTCCAGCAGTTGGGTAGGAAGAGATAGCATCTCCTATTCTGAACTCATTAAAAAAACACAAAAAACACCCTTTCTATTCCCAGGGAAATTGTTTATACAAATAAGCAAGGCAGTTTGAAGTAGGTTTAAGCAGGGCTCCAGTCTTGGCTTATGTCAATGGAAACAGGGTTTTGCCATGAATATTAAGGGAGTGAGCATATAAAAATTGCCTTATTTGGAAAGGCAGTTTTCCTGGTGGGGCAGGGGGAGTCTTCACTCTAAACAGGTCTTATACAGCCTTTGTGGATTTTTTTTTTGTGCATAGTTTTGAAGTGGGTCAATCTATTTGATGTCCAGACGGTAGTTCCATTTAAAATTCCTACCGTACTTAGTAGTTTTTAGACTGACTGCATGAGCTATGGGCCTCACATCTGGTCCAAAAATTTGGGTGTTCTGCTCAGCCTCTGAAGTTTTATACTGGCTTTGCTGATGACTTGCTCTGGAGAACTCAAATGTCCACCTAATTGGCAAATCTCTAGAATTTCAGTAAAGATTTATTTATTGCCTAACCCTGAATTTTGGTCTAAAAAATGGATCAGATGACTGTGTTTTCCCTCTACCTGCTGTTCTAAGGTGTGCTCTCAGTTCCTACTGAGGGCAAAGAGACAGTGAAGAAGACCAGCCGGCCTGGCCAATGCAGTGTATGAACTCCAGTCATGCTTAGAGAGTCTGCAGAATCTTCCGTGACTCTAGAGCAATCCCTGAACAGCGATGGTGGCGGAAGGGATATGACAGCCTTTTCTCAGAATGCAAATGGAACAGATGACTGTGTTTTTCCTACTGAGGGGAAAGAGACAGTGAAGAAGACCAGCAGGCCTGGCCAATGCAGTGTATGAACTGCCAATGCAGTGTATGAGTCTGCAGAATCTTCCGTGACTCAAGAGCAATCCCTGAACAGCGATGGTGGCAGAAGGGATATGACAGCCTTTTCTCAGAATGGCTGGCAGAGATGGGCACGAACTGCCACTTTGGTGGTTCGCGCCAGTTCATTTCTCAGCCAAACAGGCGTCCAGGACTTCAAAGCCCCGCCTCCTCCGGAAAGCGCCCACTCAGAGGCAGTGCCTGGATGAGGTAGGGCGGGGAAGCCAGGCTGCTGCCTCCGAGTGGTCATTCCCCAGAAGAAGGCAGGGCTTTGACCTGCCAGACACCTGTTCGGCTGAGAAATGAAGCTGTGCTTTCTCAGAGGCTCCTTTAGGGCATTGGTGTGTCCCACTTCTTCAGTGGTCAGCCTGTGATGTCACAAGGCCAACATGTGAGGAGGGGGGCATTTATTCCATCCTGAGTTCCGTGGAAAAAACAAGCTAAAAATCAGGTGAACAAGCTTGGGATCGCATTAATTCATTCCTAGCCAAAGCCCTTTTAGAATGCACATTGGTCTCCACCATACGTTACTGTTCGCCTTTGGGAACAACAAGTACATGGATTTTTTTTGTAATGCACATGAAGAGCCTTCCACTTCAAGAAGGTTATATATGATTTCTTCTTGCCTGAGAACAAGATCTACCCAGTCAGTGCACAGGCAGCGAACACCAAATTAAATTTATATCTATTGGGGCTGAAAACAGACAGCCTCCTCCTAAAAGTGAATGGATAGCACTTGCCTTGTTATCGATTGGGTTATTTTAAGGCTAATAGCTAATAGCCCTTTTCTTACTGGACTTGGAAACATTGGTTACTCTCTTTTTTTGCAGATTCTAGGGCTTCGGCTCTCGCTATTAAGTTGCAGAAGTAATTATAGACATTGATTTTCCTTCTGGTGGCATTTTGGTTGTTTATCTTTAATCAGAAATGGGGGGGGGGCAAATAAAGGGATTTTACAGGAAACGTTCCCCAGGGAACAGCATGTGATTATTAGAAGCAGTAAAACACGAGTGCTTCAGAATACATCAGTGTGCTGGCAGCTCGCACAGGGTGGTGCTAGAAAGAAAAAGGCTGCCCCTCCTTGTGTTACAAACGCTTCCTGCCTGTTCAGAGTGTGTGGCTCTAAAGCCGCGTCCTCCGGAGCAAGAAGGAACAATGCCCTCTTTTTATGCGTTACATATTTCTGATTGACCATCACTTTGGGGTGGCAACCACTGCTGTAATCTGCTGGCATGTTTTTAACAGCAGACAACGGCTGGTTGCGCTTGAAAAGTGAGAGACATACAAGACCCAAGTGTTCGTGTGGGAAGTACCATGGCAGAATGTGAGCACCGAGTGATTCAGAACTAAGGCTATGTTTTCTCTTGCTGATGGGGAGGCGTGCCCATGTGGGGGAAAGAAGCAAAATGGGGTGGGCAACCCTTTTTCTTTTCTCTGATGACCCCCCCCCCAGTGCTGGCTTTGTCTCTCTCCCGCTTTTCTTTTCATCCTATCTTTTTGGAACGGCTGCATAGAAAGGACTGCATTTTTGCCCAGTGATCTGAAGTGATCACTTGCAAAGAACTTTTATTTATTTCTTTTAGATATTTTTACCCCCCCCTTTCTCCTTTAAAAGGACCCAAGGCGACTTACATCGGCACGAGACAATATTTAAAGCTACAAACAGTAAATATACAAATATTAAAAGGGAGCAAACAAATGTTACGCTAAAAAAATGGTAAGAGCAACAACAAACTTAGTTAAAGCAGTAAGATACAACCATCCGTATAAAAATGCCACTCAGGCAGCCATATTTACTCAGTAAAAACTTCCCTGAAAAAAAGGTCTTCACTTGTTTGCAGAAGGGCAGCAAAGATGGAGGCCAGCCTGGCCTCCTGTGGGAGGGAGTTCCAGAGTCTGGGAACAGCAACAGAGAAGGCCCTCTCCCGTCTCCTCCTCCAAGTGCATCGGTGAAGCTGGTGGGACCGAGACAAAGTTCTCTCCTGACACTCAAGGAGGCTCATACAGGGAGATGTCGTTCTTGAGATAGCTTGGGCCCAAGCCATTTAGGGCTTCACAGGTTAAAATTAACCCTTTGAGTTGTGCCCAGAAATGGATCAGCAGCCAATGGAGCTGCCGTAACAGGGGTGGTGGTCTATGCGTTATGTGTTCCCTGTGGCCAGCCTCAGAAATCTGGCTGCTGTGTTTTGGACCTGCTGAATGTTGAAATGAAGCTGAATAATGACCATTTGGTACTACTTTGGCAACTGAGACCACTCTAAGCAACCTCTGCTCAGTTGCTGAGGAACACCTCCCATGACCAGGCAGCTGGAAATTTTTATTTTTGTTACATTTTGTTACAATTTTTTTAAAAACCCTGTTTGAATCCATAATTTTTACTGTAATCATCTCTGAGAGATTTTCCTAATTCTGGAGCAACTGTTGGGAAGCCCTGCTGGTTTCAGGGGTTGTAAATACCTTGAAAATAAGGGCAGTTCTCCCAAAAAACATGACAGATTTTCAGTTGCCAACATAACTGGATAATCCAGCCTGTGTTTCAAGATGGTTGCCACAGTTGGTGCTGCCACGAATTGTTGCAGTATGTTCCCACTCTTTTCACAAATGCAACAACAGGGCAGGAGCCATTTTATTAAAATCGCACACATTGGCCGCATTGATGCAGCTCATCATGCCTGACAACCACACTGTGGTAGCGAAAGGAGCAGAGACGAACATGTTTTGATCGTAGCTTGTGTTGCGATCTTTTCAGTCTGGAGCTGTTAAAAAACTTGCTGATGACGTTCTTTCTGGCTAAGAGTGATGCCGTAATACTTGTGAAATATTCAAGAAATTGTACTATACCAAAAAGACTAATGCCTTCAGAAAGATCCCTCTGTCCCTGATCTCGAGACCGTCGATGCTTTCTGCATGTTTCACCAGATTGTCAACAGCTCACAGGCCACGGAGTCTATGGACTGTACATTTGCTACATTTGCATTACATCCCTGATGATGGCACTGTAGTTCAGAGGAGGCTTTGCAGGCTAAAGCTAGCTATGCACGTGTAGTTCTGATACTACCAATAAAAAGAAGTGCACACCACGGTGGGAAAACCCCTACTGTCTGCTAGAGGAGGTGAGCTCGCTTGAAGACTGCATGGAGCTGACAGCGAAGACGGCCTATGCAAAGATCAGGGCTCAGAGAATTCTCCCTTTTTTGGGGGGGGGGATGGGGGTGGGACATGCTGGCTGGAGGATTCCGGGAATTCTGTTTAAACAAGAGAGAGGGAGGGAGAGGACTTTTCCAAGTGTGGCCAAATGGGAAACAAACTACATCTGTACCAGCTACGGGACTATAATATATGAGGCATCAGTTCCTGTTTGAGGCATTTCTTTTCTCTCTCTCTCTCTCTCTCTCTTAATCTCTCTGGGCTGCCGGAACTGAGATCGAGGGACAAGAAACCAACTGCATGCAGCATCACCGAGGGATCGGCTGCAGCAGTTCAGAGGTTCATCTAGTCCCGTTTTCCTTGTTGAGGAGAAAGATGAAGCCCGAAGGCCTGGAAGCAAAAAAGGCCAGCGAATAGGAATGGGCCAGGAACAGCTTCACTTGGGTCTTTCTGCTGAGACAGGAAGCACGCAAAAGGCACCCCTTCAGAGCCGGGGGGGGCTGGGGGGAAGACCCAGGAACGGGGGAAGTAAGAAGCTGCTGGTTTGCCTACTCAGATGTTTTTATTTTTATTTTACCTCTTCCTTCTAAACATTTTTGAAAAAGGAGGAGGAGAATGGGGACAGCCGTATTTGCTGGAGTCCTGACTGTGGCAGAAGGGAAACACCTGAAGGGAACTTGTTCTCTGTCTACTCACATCTCTTCTTCCAAAAGCTGGTGTTCCACGTGTAGCCGAGCAAGTTCGACTCGGAAACATGGAAGCAAAGCCTCTCTATGGAGCCTTGTCTGGGATCTGCCT